GTTCACAATCGGGGCTAGTTTTAGCCGGTGGAGAAAATTCTCAGTGAGCAAATCCCAGAGCATATAACTGAAAAATTGACCAGTGGGCTCCAAAGCGGCATGCACAGATGCCTCCCCGACTCTATTGAAATCTACATATTTGCAGTACTTGAAGCCTGCATTATCCCCTTGGGTGTATTTCTACAATGTCTTGGTTGTCCCAGATGCCATAGGTTACCGAGGACTTCCCTTTCCGGAGTTGCACCTGTGGCCCTCTGCTTGGAATGATGGTGGAGCTTTCTGATGCAGTAGCTTCCCTGCTAGGAGTGCTGTGCTTTTATCGTTACAACAAGAAGAATGTTGAATGGGTCCAATGGATCTAAAACTTCCTCCACCCAATGACTTGTCCTTGCAATGGGGCAAAGCAGTGCCAGATCTGGTGCTAAAACTGGTGCTGTTATTTCCCCTCCTGTTCACACCGATGGGAAGGAAGATAGATAAAAGGAAAAGCCAGCATGAACAAAAAGGAAGAAAAGGTATGTGGGGGAGACCTTTTCTGCCCTGGTTGATGGAATCTGATGAAGTGTTGGAAACTTGTTGTGTTCATCTGCCACAGGGTCTCCTTCCAAGACTAAGATCCTTTGAAGGATTGCTCTGTGAATGAGGTGATGTCACTTGTAATTTTCTAGCAAAACAAAGAGGTAGCATCTAGGAATTGGTGTTCCTTTTCCTCTCCCTTAGATTTGCCATTTGCTGTTGAGCATGAGAAAGGGGTCTCAGTGAAGACTAAGTGTAATAAGCTTTGCAACTGGCTCTCTGGCTCCCAAGTGGAGCATTTTGTGGGGGTGGACAAGGTATGAACTGGATGCCTTTGTTTTATATTCAGCTGAGTTGAGTTGACAACAGTGACGAATAAATAGGTCAAATCTGTTTCCACCGACCCTTCTAATACCAATGAAACATTATTTGTGGCTTCTTTGTGATCATCATGACTCAATATTTACTTTATTTACTTTTTTATCATGTCATCATAACTAGCTGGCAATCTCTGCTGTAAGACAGAAGAATCCTCAGAGATTTCTCCTGAACTCCTACCAGTGTGTGAGCATTATCAGCGTTTTCCAAGATATCCTGTTGAATATACTATCAGAAGTCCATTTGGAATCATTTATTTATCAACACTTTTTGAGAGGCACACAGTCTTGAAACTTCAGAGGAGCTGCCTATTCAATTCTGCTTGGGATTTCTTTAACTAGGAAGTAAGAAACATATGAAACTTCTTTATGTTGTGCTAGGCCTTTGGACCATTTGGAATGCTATTTTTCATTCTGCCTTGTAGTTGTGTCTGCTAAATTCTTTCCCAGCCCACTTTTCAAGGATAACCTAACATTTGAATGGTACATTGAGGCATTCAGTGAGTTTTGTTCGAGTTATATATATTTGGTAATAGTTGAGTAGTCTCAGCTTGTAACTTGGGTGATTGGGGCGGCCTAGAAATTTTCTAAATAAATAAATAAATAATAACTGGTGCAAGGCACGTTTTATAGAAAGAAACACATCCACATTGTCACTTCAAGAGCAAACAGCTTTTTACTGGGTGTTCTTAGCTCATAGGAAGACAATTTCTGATAGAAAAGGTTGAATGCAGCCATTATGCTTGCACTGTTCAAAGAAAGGAGCACTTAATACCATTGAAGAAGGAGGAAGGAAGTCAAAGTCTGAAAGCTGCAATCTACATCAAAGAGTAATCACAAGAAGAAACTAATGGAGGAAGAAAAATTCCTTCTATCTATTGCCCCTTCCCTGTTACTGGTGACTTACTACAAGCATTGGTACTTTACTCCAACATATTCTATGTGCATTACCTAATTGTAATGTTTACAACAGCCCTATCAGGTATGCCAGTATTATTCTTCATACAGCAGTGGTGTCATGAGGGTGGATGAGAGAGTGTGGCTTGCATTTTTCCACCGTTGATGCCTAATGGCAGAGATGAGATTTGAAGCCAGGACTTTTTGATTGGCAGTTCAGTCTCTAAGTCACTGTGCTATCCCAGCTGTCTTGCGATCCTTTTTAGATGGAGAGGCCAGGAATTGAATGTGGAACATTCTGTACGCAAATCATGTGCTTTACACATGTGCTTTACACATGTGCTCAGCTATGATTCTCTTCCTGCCATGAAAGTAAATCCATCAGAGGATCTGTAAAGATGCCCCAAATTAGAGATGAATCACCCAGAACCAACATGTATGATCTTAAACCACCCTATCTCTAACCTGGTACCTTCCAAATATGTTGCACTGTAACTTGGCCATACTTGTTGAGAATTCTGGGAATTGTAGTCTAATACATCTGCAGACCACCATGTTGGGGAAGGCTATCTTAAGCTAATGGTTTTACTTTGCCTTTTTAAATGAGCCATGAAAAATATGGTAGCTTGACACTAAACCCAGCTGGGTAGTGATGTCCTTTTTGTTTAATTTTATATACATCTTTATTTATTTAAATAAAAATGCATCCCACCTTTCAATATTAAAATAAATACCCAAGGTGGCTTACAGGTCTTGGTTAAACAAACAGATAAATAACAAGATAAGATCTTACTATCTTTAATGATGAAGGTGATAGATTCTTAGCAGTTATATCATGCTATGCAATAAGAATGCTCTGGCTGCTCACAATTAGAGATGTGCTGGCACTGAGAAGTCCTTGCTCATTTGAGTTTGGCAAACTTTCTGCTGCCTTCTGCCATGATGATTGAAAGTGAGCTAAGTCAATTTTTTCCTCCTACTGACTTCTGTCTCTAAGTAGGGTCACAGTTTGTACATGTAACAAATACTAAAGAAATTTGCACGGACCATAGTATTTGTGCTGTTTGTGGAAAGTTATACAATTTGCGCAACTCACATTATATGCACAAGTTGGACACTATGAAGTTCCACTAGAAGTGTATGACTTTTGGATTTATTGCACAACTAGTATGCTTTGTTTTGTTTGTTTGTTTGTTTGTTTGTTTTAAATGTGCAGACCACAGTACAGTTTAGAGACGGGAGCCTACAAGCTGGTTCACCTTGCACAACTGCAAGTTAGCACCAGAATCTGGGTGGGTGGGAAACTGAATTATTATTATTATTATTCACTGTTTTGAAGATAACTTATAACAATCTGTGGGATTTTTCATCTCTATCAGATTTCTCACCAATCCCTAACATACCTACCTAAGTGATAGTTACCACAATCCCGCAATATGTGTCAGTACACTGCAGATTGAGAGCTGGAAGTGAGAGATAGCATCTTGCCTAAAACCCCCTAGAAAAAAGGAAGGGGATCATTTTTTTTCTGTTGTCCAGCCTGTTACCGAACTCAGCGAGTCAACAGCTAGGGCAAACCCAGGTGGACCCCAGACCCAAGTCAAAAGGAACCTGAGATGAGACTTAGAGCGAAAACCAGCTTTATTCTAGTGCACTATAGAATAAAGGAAGATGAAAGGGAATGTTCAGCCCAAAGCAGTGTCTCGAAAGTTGCACCTTGTATACCCTAGGTAAGCAATTAAGTCACCTAATAATAACGCATTAGTATATCAATGTAGCTACACCTCTATTAGCTTCCAAGAGTCTTTTCTTCTGTCAGGGGCCAGACAGTTCCCATGTCTATTTCTTATCTGCTCGAGATTCACATAGGCTTGCCATGTTCTTACTCCCTGCACATTTGCAACTTTCATGGTGGCTTTAACCACTGTCCCTTTGATTACTGTATTGGAGGTCAGGGTAGCTTGTTAGCTGTGGGTTACAAAAAGTACATTTTGTTCTTATCCCCCCTTCCTTCTGGGACAGTATAACTGTGGTGTTTTTACTATGTGGCCTCCCTCTGGCCAACTATTCTTGGGGCCTTCCTCTGGCCAACTACTTTTGGGGTGTTTTGGGGTGCTGCATTTGGCAACAAGCCCTTGGGATAATGTCTCAGGGATTGCAGGGTGATGATGGGCAGAGATTCAGCCAAAATTGGATGGAGCCAGAGCCCAATATGGGTGGGGTTTGCAGCCTTCTAGGACTGTATAGGACTCTTTTTCTTTACCACCCCATCTTCACAAACCACATGAACTGCATAAAACTAGGTCAAGTCCTCAGTTCCTGTCCCTGGCTAGAAAGAATTTCCAAAGAGGTGAGGTTCAAACTAGGACTTCCTGATTCATCAGATCAGATGGCAATCTCGTACAATTCCCATTGTACTTTATTGAACTCACTTCTGTGCAGACATGTTTAGGATTGCACTTTTGGTCATGACTGTATGCAAATGCTAGTATTTCTGGGAGGAAACTACCAGGCTCCTTGAAGCATGAAAAATTTTATGTTGTATATATGTAGTAGAATTGTTTCCTGAGTTTTCTTTTATGGTGGGAGGAGCAATTCTGGGGGGGGGGGAGGCATAAGACACTTTAGATTCTCAGATCTGGAATTGGAATCAGAGCCTTCCCCTCAGTCCTAGGAATCTGTTCTCTGACTCCCTGAGCCCACCTTCCCTCCCTTCAAGCAGCAAGGAAAGAACTGTACTTGCTGCCTCTCTTAGGTCAGGAAGGGGGACATTCTGTGGGACAGGGTAGAAAAAGACTGCATAGGCCAGGGAATGTGGGATCCTGTGTCTTCTGCAACTTCCTTCCCTTCCTTTGAGGTTAGTTGGGTGAAAAAGGAGGCTGACAATAACCACAAGTGGATTGCACCTAAATGGATTAAGTCTATCAGGCAATACCCAGTGCTGTCAATCCATCAGTGCCAGTCATGTTGTATTGGCAGGAATGACAGCTAGTTGTCCAGGCAGCAGCTGAAACTCTGCTAGCTTGCTCTGTTCTGAAAGTGTTGGAATGACCACTTCCTGTTGCAGTAGTGTTCATTCCCACTCATAGAAGGGAAGCATCGGATGTTATGCATTGTGGTTTACAGAAGAAAAATGTTCTTTTTATCTGAATATCTGCAATTTCTACACTACAACAGAATACCATTCTTTGTTCTTGATTTTTCCCCCAGCACATAAAGAACACTGGGATGGCTGCATCCAGATATGCAATGCGAATGGTCCATTCTGGCAAATTAGTTTCACCATGGGAACTTCAGATAAACAGAATGGCTAGTTTTAGCCATGCATGGTGCAGAGGCATAGCCTCAGATGTTGCTGCCAGTACACCTGCTGCAAATACAGTGGAAACTCTTGGAAAACTTTATGTCTTGGATAACTACAGCAATATCCCAAAAAAGATTCTTTCAAAGGTGGGGAAAAACTTGCACAACCAAAGGCATCACCCTTTGTGGCTGATTAAAGAGCGTGTGAAAGACCATTTCTACAAGCAGTATGTGGGACGCTTTAGGGCCCCGTTGTTTTCAGTGTATGATGATTTGCCTCCAGTGGTCACAGTAGAACAAAACTTTGACAGACTGCTTGTTCCACAAGACCATCCAAGCAGGAAGAAAGGGGATAGTTACTACCTGAATCAGACACACATGCTAAGAGCGCATACATCTGCACACCAATGGGACCTCATGCACTCTGGACTGGATGCCTTTCTGGTTGTGGGAGATGTTTACCGTCGTGATCAGATCGACAACACCCACTATCCGGTCTTCCACCAGATGGAAGGAGTCCGACTCTTCTCCAGCCATGAGGTAAGAAATACTTCAAGGGTTCAGGAAGGGTCACTAGCACTCCTTGCTTGGTCTGAGTAGATTAGAAGATAACATTTCAGCCCCCTGCAAAGAAAGGACCAACAACTGTTGTGAAGTTATGAATTCTTTATATCAAATGAAACAATATAATGACATCTGTAATACAAACACAAAACAAATATCTGATATGCCCATAAAGTAGCGTAGAAACTGAGCAATAATAACACCCCAGCATTGCCCCCATAAAACAAACTGTCTCGCAGATTCTACGTAACCAAAGAGAAGAATTTATTTTGGGAGAAAGATTGCTGCAGCATTCATTTGATTTGATGGGAAACAGAGTGAAAATGCCTTGGAAGTTTAAAAAGTGTTGTGGTAAGTCCTTCTGAAAATGTTGCAGTGGGCCATCTCAACTGGCCATCTCAACTGGTTGGGATGGATTTCCAAGTGAGTGTTATAAAATATTTTCCATTTTTCTGGACCCAAACTTTATTGTTTGTATAACTCTTATTTTTGAATCAGGTTCTCCTTCAACAGCATTCAATGATGCTTATGTTACAGCAGTTCCTAAACCAGATAGAGATCATACCCTCTGTACTAATTATTGACTTATTTCTTTGGTTAATTAATTTAATACTTTTATATCCTGTCCTCTATATGTGGCATCTCAGGATGGCTTACAAACTTTAAAATAAAAAATGAATAAACAATTAATACAAATATAAAACAATATATAGCCAAAAAATAAATTAAGAGCAACTGATTAAAACTATTAAAATACTAATTTTTAAAATAACATGAAATGTTTTAATGTGAATATTAAAATACTAATGGACTACAGGTAGTTATTTCAATGCTCATCTATCTAGATCATTAAAAATAGGCAGAGGACTGATCAACTGAGATTGGTTGTAGATCTGCATTAAGTGAGGAGAGAACAGACACAGCTGCCATTATCTTATTGGATAGAGAGGAGGCCTTTAATAAAATGTATTGGGAATTTTTCTTTGCCGCATTGAGAAATTCATAATTTTTGTGGGTTTCCACTCTACCATCAATATCCTGGAACAATATGTGGCTTTTCATTAACAAAGGTGAATTTGCCATTCCTCACTTACACCATAAGGCCTGTTGACTTGCACTAGATTTTGCTCTTTTACGCTTAGATCAGATTCCTCTCTCTGGTCAATTTTGGAATCTTCATTTCTGAACCCTCTTCTCAAGTGGATTTCATTGTGCTCTCATTATAACAAACTAGATAATATACCTCCACCAGCTGTGACAATGAGTGATGTATTTTCATGTCAGTTGCATTTTTGATGCATTTTCACATACAATATTAACTTTATCCAGAAATCAAGATTTAAAAATTGGCAAGAAAATGGTTTGTCTGGTAGACGTGAATGGACAGAATGATTTTCACTTTGGATCAGCTTGACAGCCCTCACAATTATTTTCTGCTTTGCATGCGAAATACAAATTGCAATTATAGCTGCATGGCAATATATGTAATTGAAATATCCAGGTTTGTTCCTGCTACTTTTAGAGCTTCAGAGCTCCCTGCGTTATTGGAAGTATTGAATGAGTCTAAACAGTTACATAGGCTTATAATTAATCTGTATATATACCTATTACCAGTGAATAAATATGATGCACAGGGTCTCAGCCAAGCATGAGATAATGAACTCAAGCATCCCCTTTTGCTCAATCAATGATGCACTCCATTATTAGCTATGCCCTAAGGGGGTCATGGATCTAGAGTATGCTTAATTCAGCAAAAATTGATGTTTCGGGTATACAGGATAGCACAATGTCTGTTTAATAAGGGCTTAATTAAATCGGTCACTTGTTGGAGGAATAACGCTGCTAATGTTTCTCTTCTTCATATGTTTTGGCAAAGCCCAATTGTAGCTTCCTTTTGGGAGGAGGTAATAATTTGGATAAATCTTTACTATTCAGGGATACATATGTTTTTTTGAATTATCTACCCTTTTCTTGGAATTTAACATAAAATCCATTCTACATAACTGGTTTTTCCATGTCTTTTTGACAGCTAGAAGACTGATATTGCAAAATTCAAAAACTAAATGGTTACAGTAATAACAGAATGAGTGGAGGATTTAATGAAACTTTCAGTTTTTGAATGAGTAGTGTTTAGGTATAATCTTCACATGGATAAACATATGGATATTTGGATTCCTTTGAGGATTTCCCTGAAGTGCATTAATATAATAAGCTTTGTGACTTTTCCTGCCCTGAAGCTTTGGGGCAATATATATCTTTTATGCATAGAGAGAAAGCATGCTTGGGAAAGTATGGAAGGGCTGCAAAACAATACTGAACCAAAAAGATAAAGTACTTGGAGAAACAAGCTTGTCCCCTGCTGCTGGTGCTTCTGAAGCTCATCCCCTGCTTAGGAAGGCAGCATGCCCTACTTCATGCCCTCCTGTGGACTTCCCAAAAGCATTTGGGGCACCCCTGTTGGAAATAACAGAGCAGTGGTCCAGTGTTAGTTACTTTACTTTACAGCTCCTGTGCTCACCAGAAGCTACACCTGAAAGGCAGATGACCCTCCTGGGTCTCGAGGACCTACACAGTGCTGCAGATACAGGGCTCTTTGGATCTTTGGCCCGTGTACTATGGGACAGGAATGAATTGAACAGGTCAACCTTGGCATGCTTCCTAAGCAGTTTGGGGCAGCTGTGATCCCTGCTCAGCTCCACTCCGTGCTCCCACAATTTCCTCTAGAATAGCAGTGAGAGGTGGTGTGGTGCTCCAGGGCCATCTGCTATAGCTTTCTATGCAGTATGGCATGGTATGTCATGCAAACTCAGCCAATGTATCCAAATCCTCTAATATGCCAGCAGGGGCCTTTGGCTCCAACTATATCCACATTGTTTAAATGGTTGACAGGCATTGTTAGACCTGGTTCGGCTGCACAGTTCACGTGGTCAATTTCCCAGCCTTGAGATCAGATGTACCCTGAAAAAGGTAATACATGGCTTTTCCAGATAAGCTTCCTTCTTTTCTTTTTGTGTAATAAATGCTGACCTGGAAAACTCTGTCTTGTGAATGTATCAGAGGATTTGATGTAAATCAGATTGACTTAAATAACTAGTCAGTAAGACTAGATTTAAATCATGGTTTTGCACACATGCCTGCCTTACCCGTAAGTAGAGGAACTTCATTAAAATATTCCCAATCCAGGTCTCTTTTATGGTCTGCTGTCATTATAGGTTTTCTTCTCCAGGGAAAGAATAATATGATAAACCTCAGACTATACACGGAACAATCCAAAGACTGGTTGAGTGTTCTGCTCAAAAGGTTTCATTTTCATTTTTACTGGTTTCCCCTCCCTCCCCACACTTAGCTTCTTGTGTGGAGCAATTCGGCTCCCAACAATCTTCTATTCTATTCTTGAATGTTTTCAAACATAGCAAGAGATAAGGGGTTAATTCTGTGTATAGTTTTGCATAGGAACAATGAGTTTAAGGTCTTTTTTCAACACTATGTTTATTTTATAACATTTTTGTTGTGAAGAAGAGGCATGTAATCTTTGTAGGCACAAATTCACAGTTTTGAGAACTGTAAAACCAAGCATCTGTGATATCTTTTAGATAGAAAAATTGCCCAATAATCTTAGAGAAACCTCTGGAAGAGCATGGCATTGTGAATGGATTAATGACATTCATTTACAAAAAACTGAAACATTGCATGAATATATAGCCTCAAGCTACATAATTAAAAATGAATCCTTATTTCATGATGAATAACCTTTGGACTATAATGTATTAATCTTGAACAGAAAACTATCTTTAGCTAGATTATTCCTCAAAAAACATTTTATTTTAAAAACCCAATTTAAATAAAAACTTATTTAAATAAAAACCCAATTTAAGTTTTAAACAGCATTTTAAAAAAATCATTGATTTTTATAAACTGTGCAATACACCTTTTCTGTGTCCTGAGCATCATATTGCTATTAGATATGGGTAATGCTTTCCCGATAGTCTTCACTAAGGGATTTTTAAGAGTTAATCTGGTATAGCATATTTTTTTAAAAGAGCATCAGATAAACCAAACCATCACATCAGTATATTCTATTTATTTTAAATGTTTGCATACTGCTTTTTAGATTATATAATATGCTAAAGGAGTTTACAAAGTGTTTATTTATTTGATTTATTTGGAAGCTGCCCACTAGCTTCACTCTGTCTGGGCAACCATTACAATATATTGTAAATGCCAATAAAATAACATTAGATAAAAGCAAAATGTTGAAAAATGATACAATATTAATAAAGATTTATAAAGATGTACACAACATAACAGAAGAGGATTATAGCAGATGATTATTTAAAAACCATTAATTAAAACTCAGCATCTTGAAAAAACAATGAGGTCACCTCCTTCCTTATAGGCAGCTTCAGTCTTTGTGTTTTTTATTTTTTTTATTTATTAAAACATTTTATGCTGCCCCATTCGCCGAAGCCTCGGGGCGGCTCACATCATGTTCTGAGTGGAAGATCTTGCTTACCATGTCACCGTCATTGGATTTGGTCCATTTGTGGAAGAGGGCCTTCTCCCTTATGATGCCAATCGTGCGGAATGATATCTCCATCAATATTAGGTGGGTTCCTAGTGAGGAGTGTTTTTGCCAGCTACTGAAAGAATATCTGTATCTGGGCATTTTCCTCTCTGCTAGCATTTCCAGCTACTCTTGGATATTTTAATGCATTTTTAGTTGTATTGATTGGGTCTTCTGTTTATCATGATTTTATTTGAGTTATGGATTTATTTTAAAAATGAAAAGCAGTATAAAGCTTCCACAAATAAATAAAAGCCTTGATGAACAACAAGTATCACCTGGCGCCAAAGGGATAACAGAGATGTTACCAGGTGAGCTTCTCTAGGGAGCAGTTCCAGAGGCGAGATGTCACAAGAGCAAAGCTCCTGTCCTGAGCGAAGCTGTCTCCCCTCTCTGCCACGGACAGTATAGG